TAAAAAAGATATCTCCTGACAAGGTAAAATTACTAAGCAAAATAAGTCGCATATAACAAAACCTCATGAGTATTAACGTTATTGCGATGCATTGGTAATTAACTGCCCTTCTTTCTTTATTTTATAACGAATTATAAAGTTTATTTAAAATTTATTATTTAAAAATTTTTTGTGTCAATTGAAAACGTGACTTTACATATATGAATTCATTTTAAAATTAAGAAGTTACACAATATAATTTCAAGATCGTCACTATGTGACAAATGTGATAAAGAGAAATTCCACTATGCTAATGGCTTCAGCATAATGGACATTTGATTTCATTGGCTAATATTTGTGACGATTTCCCTTCCATATATCACGCAAAAATTAAATTTTATTGGCTTGATGATCATTACGCAATTTGAAAACAAAATAAATTTATATAGGAGGGGAATTTGAATGGAATAAGTGAATTTCAAGTTGATACAAGAATATATTTACATACTTGGATATAAAACAATTATCATTAAATAATCACATATATTGTATATTTAAAACAATAGATTTACAAAATGTTAATAACAATGATCTATTATTTATTATTATTATTATTATGTTAATAACATTAATTAATCAAATGTATAAACAACCTACCTTCAAAACAATTCTTTTGAATAAAAGAAAATAACAATTAACACTAAAATAATTAAATAAATACCCAAAACTATTTGTCAGTAAGATTGCTCATTCGAATCTAATCCACATAAAATAATTTTGTTTGTCATCAATCACCATTAAAAAAAAAATTTTTTTAGAAAATTACATATATATATAAATGTGTATTGATGACCATTGTAATAATTAAATATTATCAAACCTCCTGCTAGTACATTGTTCTTCCAAAGATATATACATGCGTGTGTTTAAATAATTTTTACTAATAAATAAAATATTATCCAAGAATTTAGTATATAAAGTTTATATAACAAAATTTGATCACAATAAAAAGAAATAAATAATAATATTTGCAAGCAAGAGTTTATCTTCCATTATCACAGATAGCCCTCCCTCTCTCATCTATAATCCACTATTGTTACTGTTGTTATTGTTGTTAACTATTTAAAAGATTTAATGAATGATTGAATTAAATGCTTACTGCTGGTTAATTCTAAACCACCATCTAATAATAACTATGATTGTTGCAATCAAAGAGG